GAAAAAGTAACTCCGATATTTTCTTGTAAATTAAAAAGTAATGCGTTACTTTACTAGTTACTTGAAAAAAAGTAATCTGATTACGTAACTCGCGTTACTTGTAATGCGTTACTCCCAACACTGGTGAAATATGATTACAGTTTAAAATAAGTGTTTTCTATGTGAATACCCAGGTGAAAAAGACGTAGTATAGTCTAGTGTATTTACAGAAAACATACTTATGTTACCCTTACTTAAAGTATATTTTATGTCTACTTTGTGCTATGTTGTTTAATATGTTGTTCAGTTTTACTTTGGTTGATTAGGCTGTTGTTCATTACATGATACATTAATTGTAATAAGCTAGGTTTAAAATCCAACTTAAACATATCTTGAAATACACTTAATATACTTAAAGTTGTTTCAAAATAATACATTGAATATGCACTTAGTATAGTATAATTTAAATATAGTAAGTATGTCTGAAAAAGCACAATTTAAATATATTTCTTTTTCACCTGGGTATATATGTTAAAATTTAATTTATTCCTGTGATCAAAGCTGAATTTTCAGCATCATTACTCCAGTGTCATATGATCCTTCAGAAATTTCTGATTTTTATCAATGTTGAAAACAGTTGTACTGCTTCATATTTTTGTGTGATTGTTTCCAGGATTCTTCGATACAGAAAGTTTAAAAGAACAGTATTTATTTGAAATAGAAATCTTTTGTTGCTTACTGACTTAAAATCTTAACTAAAATCTTACTGACCCCCAACTTTTGAACGGTAAGGAATAAAAATAGGCTTTATACATAGAAACGGGATAAACATTTTGAGATGCCTCCTGACAAACATAACAAAATATGGAATATCAAAACTGTTTTGGTACCAGCATTCTTCAAAATAAAAGAAAGAAACTCATTTAGAAGAAGTGGAGGGTGGGTCGCTAAATGATGACAGTAACTAGCCTAAATGAAGTAAATGGAAATGATTTTCATTTTTAGGTGAACTATCCATTTAACATAAATAGTATGTGACCACTGTGGTGGGACCAATAACACTGTCCCTTTTGATAACAATATGTCATCCGATCGATCTGCTAATGCGTGTCTAATCAGTGTAGCTCGCAGCCCCCTCTGTTGGTGTAAATAACCACTACATGATTGCTCAGCAAGCTATGTTGTTCATTCTTTTCTGCAGTGCATTTTATGTGCTGTTTTAAAAGTCAGTCAAACGGGGACATTTCCGGGAACAGCTCCTGTCGGGGACAGGACACCAAAAACCGGCACTGTCAATGTAAATTAGAGCTCTCTCATTAAATTGCTGCTAGTGAAAATGCAGTATGGCAAGCCAAGTTAGCATTCACCCAGCGTTACTCATCATAACTGCATTTTTACTAGTAACAATTATTAGAGAGCTCTATAATCACAATTGTTATTTGTAAGAATTAAAGGCATAATATGTAAGTTTTCACCACTAGAGGTCGCATTTTCAAAGGAGAAGCTTGATGTGCAACGATGGAAGATGTCGTTTTCACCATCCATGAATCATGTTCACAGATGAGGTAATGAATTATTTGTATTTATTTATTACTTGTACCTTTCACAGTTATTCAAACAGCAAATAAATTAACAGAGAAAGCGAGCAAAGAACATTTACATTGTCAAAACACATTATGATTAACTTCAGTCTAGTGCGAGTTTAAGGACTCAAAAAAAAAACTCCCCTTACAATCAATAAAGCTGTCTATAAACTGTTTGATGAATGAATCTCTTACTTACATGATACGTACATCTGCACTTTGTTGTTTATGATGAGAGAATTTGCGCGAGAGCAGAATTCAGTCAGTCAGTCTGAACAAACACTGTCGTTTCAGCGATGACTCATCTGAACGCCTCTGATTGGCCATTGTATTCATAAGCTCAACAGACTCGTGTGTGATTGGTTATAATGCACAACACTGTAAAAATTTGTAAAATGAATCGTGGTGCAACATTGAGCAGATGCAATTTTAATGCTGCAGGCAATACTTTTAATTTCATTTTCATTTTATTCGCAACAGCCGAAATGGATTTGGTTTAACTGTACAGCAGCATTTTTTTTAATGTCTACAAGCGGAAACTGAGGATAGTGCGGATATTACGTCATTGATAGGCGGCAATGACCAGGGACGAGCCATTATTTAAAATTGGAATTTCTCTGGATTTATAAATCCTTGGGAACTTTTGTTAAAATAACGTTATTATGAGTAACACTGAAAATATTAAAAGCTATGGCAAGTTAAATTAGCTTTAATTTAGTTGTAATTGCAATTTTACTAGTAAGAATTGAATTAGAGGGCTCTCCAATAGCTCTCCAAACGTATCCAAACGATTTTACTCATCAAGATACAGAATACAAATACTTTGGATGTTAAAATATTTCCTCAGAGCTGTTTACTGTTTGTTTGTGGGCAGGTTATGGAGGCAGTTGCAGTATATTTCAGCGATGAGTGAAACGCAGGGTGAACCGCCCGTATTAGCCGTGAGCAGTTCCCCACCGAACACGATTCCAGCTCGGGCACGAGAACCAGCACTGTTACTGTGGAAACTAAATAACAGAGTGATCAAAAAAGTGATTAAAAGAGAGTGGTCGATTACAAGTGAATTACTTCTGTTTAATGTTTAATTTTTACTTCTAATGTTTGTTAAACGAGTTGAAATAGCCAATATGTATAGCCTACATAAAAACGACGAACAATGCTGTAAATGATAAATAAAGGAAAATAAAGGAAGTTATCATGCAAACCAGTGGTTGTGGAGTAGGCTATGTTACAAAAGTTTAGATGATTTAAGTTAATCTGTAAACATTATTTCATGTAAAAAGTAAAAAATAAGCTATTATTATAAAAAAAAAAACGAATCAACCCGTTATGATGTGTTAAATAAACAACCCAATTTGCTGGGTAAAATTAACCCCAAATGTGTTCTGTCCTATATTTACCCAGCCCTTGGGTTAAAAACAACCCAATTTGCTGGGTAAAATTAACCCCAAATGTGTTCTGTCCTATATTTACCCAGCCCTTGGGTTAAAAACAACCCAAATTGGGTTGTTTTTAACCCAGTGTTTTTTAGAGTGCTCAAATATTAGCGGCAAATGGATGTTTTTAAAATTTCAGTCCTGAATGGTATCGTGCTCGACTCGCTACTTTTGACAACACTACTCTCTAATGCAGTGGTCGGCAACAGGCGGCCCAAAAACTGGCCCGCCAGCAATAATATCTGGCCCGCCCACAGTCAGATTATTTTGATAGCGGCTGGTTCTGAAATAGATCTGTCATGATAGAAACAGTTACTCACAATCACTTCGTCTTTAGTGATTTTGCCTTCAAAATAAAAGAACGTTTTTGCAGTAATGTTTTATTTTGAGATGAATTGAGAGCTTTTAATTTGAAAAGTTCTGAAAGACATTCAAAAGAGTCTATTATATTCTTTGCAAACAGCGACAACTTCGTTGCAGATAAGACACACCGGCTTTGCATTCACAAAACTAGGTAGGATGAACGCATAGTTGTCTTTCCATTCTTCTTTGTATGCCCTATTTTCGCTGTCAACTTTCCTCTTTAGACTTTTTGAAAGTGCCATTTTCTCTCACCAGCTAGCTTAAATGTTAGGTAACACTTTCTTTCGATAGTCCACTTTAGACATTCTATTAACAGTAAGTAACTTTGCAACTACATGTCAACTAGCAGTTAGTAGAGTATTAGTAGACTGTCTGCTTAATATCTTCTAACACTTTCTTTGTCAACTTATTCTACTAACCCTAAACCTACCCTAACAGTCCACTCTGAGAGTTAGTAGACATGTAGTTGCAAATTAATAAGAATTAGTTGACATGTAGTTGACATGTAGTTACAAAGTTACTTATAGTTAGTAGAATGTCTAAAGTGGACTATCGAAATAAAGTGTAACCAAATGTTAACATCACTCTGCACACGACGTAATAGCATACCTCCAGCACGCAAAACAATTTTTAAAAAATGCAGTTTAGTACGTGAGGATGCCAAGGAATAATTCTGAGTGTAAAAGTAGGCTACGTCAAGGCTTTAAAATTATACACGTTTATTATTCACAATATGGAAAGACGAAATACAACATAGTTTGTTAAGAGCATGACTCGAACATGCCATTAATGGGCTTATTCAAGTCCTCTTTTATTTTTTGAGTTATTTTGATCTATTTCGCATCTCCCACATAGTTTTAGCAAGGCAGTCTGTGTTGCAAGTTGGTGAATGAAGATACTTGCCTGGTTGCGTGTCACTACTCTGCTTTATTAATTTATCCAGTGTAAAACCCGGACACCGCGACACAAATGTGGCTTTTTGTTAATGACTGTCCTACTACAGGATTTAACACAGAGTAACAGCTCACTACCAGTTACAAAAGACACTGTAACAGTCTGTCACAGGCAATTCTAGTTGCATTTTTCATCAATTAATTTCTTAAATTATCCTTTGACTATATATATAGTATATATGGTCTGGCCCGCCATCTAGTGGCGAAACATTTTTTTGGCCCGATGCCAAACTTATGCCGAGTTCACACTGCACGATTTTTAAAGACGTCGCATCACTGTTGGTTTCACACTGAACGACTATCTGGGGTAGCATTCAGTTGTTGCTGTGTTCACACTGCACGATGGAACGACGACAGGAGGTTACACACTGCATGACTTTACAATAGGAAAAATCGCCGGACCCCTGCTCTAATGGAATTGTTACTAGTAAAAATGCAGTTACTATGAGTAACGCTGGAAACATTAAAAGCGTATTCAGCTTGCCATACTCACTATTAGCTCTAACAAAACAGTGCTCTGATATTGATATATGATATATATGATATATTCTTTATATTTTTTGGTTAAAAAAACGTATAGAACAGTGGTGTGGATGTTGAGCTCAAATAAAAATACAGTAGTTTATCCCATCACAAACTTCCCATACGTGGCTACCTATTGAACACAGCTCTTTGACGTCTGCGCAGTCGGCAGCGGCTGTTGACGTTCTTGAACACGCTGGGAAAGATGTGCGTTGTAGTCTTTATGATAATTACCCAACAATCCGCATGGATTTAACCATCTCCAGCCTGACTTCTGTAAGGACACACTCTCCTGCTGTGGGCACACACCACACACGTTTGTGTCTCGCTCGATGTGGACAGGTTTTATACAAGGGAGGACCTAAAGGCTGCTCGAGACGAGGGAGAGTACATGTTAGCCAGCTAACAGCTGCTGTCACTGTGAAAGTGACAGTAAAACTTCCCTAACAAGTGACTTAAACGTCCTGCGAGGCTCAGAATCGCTGTTCCTGTGACTCTGGATCATCACTTCGCATAAAAGGTAAAGAAATCGTGCTGTTTTGTGCGCTTAGCATCTGCTGTTTATGTTAGCTTGAGGGCAGATCGAACACTAATATGTATGTGTTTATCATGTGGCTCGGATTATAATTATATTAGTTTATGAAGTGACACTTTATAACAAGGTTAATGCATTAAATAACATTAAAAATGAGAAATACATTTGTTACAGTTATTAATATGTATTAACGTTGTTACTTGTTTATTATTAGTTAGCTCAGGTCCATTAAATAACACTGACAGATATAACGTTCGATTTGAATAAAGTAGGCTTATTAGTAAATGTTGAAATTAACATTAACTAAGATTAATAAATACATTAGTGTTAGTATGTTGACTTATGCGGTTAACTAATGGTAAACAAATGGAACCTTATTAAATGTTACCGTTAATAATTCTTGTTTCATAGACCTAATGTCATCAGGGTGTCCGCGGGTCCTTAAAAAGTCTTAAATTCGGATTCGATGGGTCTTAATTATCTTTGGTCTCATTACAGACCGAAGATACAGAATCATTGGACAGACCGAAGATTTTGTCTCGAGACTTCAGAACAAATGAGCGTGACGCACGTAAACTCAGAAGAATTGTTTAGTTTATTCATAACATGATATAGTTATATAACACCATGACAAGTGAGCTATTTTGCTCAATATTCTCACGACGCAAAAAAAAAACATTAAAAACACTTACACAGTGCACGCATTACGTGAAGTCTAGTGCGCATGCGCATTTGCAGTGCGCTCTGCCTGATCACTGCATGATTCAGTCTATTAAAATACATTCAGAATGATCACAAATTCAAGACATGGGGGCAGAAAATGTGTATATTTATACTCAAGTTCACACGGAAGAGTGCCTTTTTTTCTCCAAAAATTACCATATACAAATGTGATATTGATTTTTTTACAACAGTTCAATAAACAAGAAGTTAATTAAGAGACTTACGTTTTAAACACCATATTGCCTGTTTTTGTGCTATTTCGCCAACAAAAATAATTAAAAGTCTTAAATTTAACTTGTTCATGTCTGCAGAAACCCTGGTCATACATTTTCATTATTCAAAGAGTTAGAGATAAAATACCGATTATTATTATTTTTTTAAATTTTGTTGTCGTCGTGTAGTCTTGTATTAACATATATAAACTGGCTTGTGATGTAAAAAATGGTGTAAATATTGATTTATTTAGTTGTTGTTTTTTCCTGGAAGGGAGGCTTTAATTAAATTCAAAATAATTCAAATGTATCAGTAACATTCATAAGGTGTTTAGCGGGTTAATTATGCTTACTTCTTAGGACAGTCAAGTTTATTTTATGAGGCTGTTATTAACATTTTGTTAACAGTTTGTTAGCAAAAACTACTTAAAGGACTATCTTTTGGTCTTGATAATACCATGGTATTTTTTAAAGTACCTTAAAATACCATTCATGCAGTTGTCTTTCAAATATGCTGCAAAACTGCCCTTTTATTTGGTCATATTTGTTTCACTATTTGATGTCTAAAGTGGTTGAAGGTTTGCTGTGGTGGGTCAGAAAGCTGCTTGTGTGACACTTGCGTGTCGGTTTTACATGCATGTTTGTACATGCCGTCTCGTTTGCTCTCATCTTCCAGAGGAGGAATGGCGTTGAGCGCTAACCTGTGTCGTGTGACTCTGGGGGTCGAGGGCATGACCTGCGGCTCCTGTGTCCAGTCCATTGAGGGCCGGATTGGGGGTCTACAAGGTGTCATTCATATACAGGTGAGAGCTACATTAATGCTAATCACACCACATAAACATAAAGCCATTATAAATGAGTCAACGTGATGATTACCTCTGTTGTTACCTTTAAATTAATCTTTTTATGAATGCAATTATTGAAATTGTAGCCATGCATGCTTGGCCAGTTAACAAAAGTGTTACTACTTCCTTGTGTGGGTTTCAAAGTATAGGCCTACATTCAGTCTATAAACATTTCCTTTTAGTGCATTTTCAGTAAACGTTGTGCAAAATATGTATGTATGTAAAATATGTATGTATATATATTTGCAGTATTTAAAATTGTAATATCTTCATGCCTTATAGTTGCATATGTACGTTAAACAGGTATGTATTTAGTTGTATATTAAAGGTTTGGTTTCGCAACGAAACATTTAATATACAATTTTAATAGACCATAATGTATCCAAGTTTATTGCTAGACTATATATCTCTCTGAGTTTATTACTGGTCTGTGCATATGCTTAGTTTCACTATTATTAACACATTTCTTATGTGCTATTTAATCTTATGGAGCTTCCCACAATGATAATGAGTGTAAATGTCATCCTTTATCCCTAAACAAACACATATAAACCTAGCTGAGCCACAGATTAAATTTCCAGGTGTCCTTTTTCCATGAATCATTGTATGTGACTAGACTCTTGGCTCTCTGGGTGGCTGACAAAGCCATCTGACAGAAATATATGGTGGTAATAATATTTGCCAGAGCCTTCCCTCCAGCAACAGTCGCGTAATTGAAGAAAGCCACTCGTATGTTCAACTTGGAGACAAAACCTAATTGTTGCTAATTCGTCCTGCCCTTTCCCTTAAAACACAGTTACCCTGCAGACATGGGTCAAATGAGCGGATAATTTAATAGTGTGTTTGTCTAAGATGCTGTTTTAACCTTTAAAAGGACGTCTGGTGGCATTACTATTGACCAGTACTGTCGAATGCCAAATACTGTAAATGTCTTTGTTAAACACAGAAACAAACCGTATGCTTCTGTCTAAGAGAGCAGTCAATGCACTGAACACAAAGAAGCAGCTCGGTCTAGAATTGTGCTTATTGTGCGGAAACAAACTTCCTGTTGTCTCCTCATGAGGATTTGAGGGTTTAAGGGTCATATGATGACACGAGTGAATCACCAGCGAGAGCTGCCTGAGGAATCACACGCACATGCCATAGTTTAAAGTTTAGATGCAAATGTAATGATTAGCAAAACACATGCTTAAAGAAATTAAATAATACCCGCACTACCATTCAAAAGTTTGTGATCAGATTTTAGCCTTGTGCGGTCTTCGGTCACTTCTGACCGGATAATTTTACATTTAGAATTTTTAAAAATCGTAGCTTTACCAGAATGGTGCGAACCTTGGTGACTCTTATGGCACTTGGTATGTGAACACACAAAAAAATTGAGGGCATGATTCGAAAAAGCTAAGTGGTCGTAAAAAAAAAAAAATGGTTATACTCATGGTCTCCGGTCAAAAATGACCGACCATAGCAAATGAATGGGAAATGGGGAAAAAATACAGAACATTTTTGTGTACAATCTACAAATCCCCCACAATGCAAATAAAAATTGCACAGCAATGAAGGGGTGAAACTCTAAAACGTCTAGAGTGCAAAATCAACACACCAACTCACACACACACAC